AATTCTTGCAATGCTTGTGTATTTCTTTAAGGAGGCGTTGCCTTGTATCGCTGTACTGGATCCACTTGGTTCGTATCATCGTAAAGCTGCTATTATCCGTTCCCTTAAAACGTATGTGCAAGTCAAACGAATCGTAGTGATATGAACTTGAAAGAATCATATGATGCTGTTACTAGATTTTTGCGGATGCAATGGGATAATTCTCAAGAATGCGTTGACAACATGAATGCAATTTCTGAATACGAAATGGATCAAGTTCATACGTTAAACGTGAATGCCCCACACCAAGAGAATAGCTACGACTGTGGTGTCTATGTGCTGAAATTTGCTGAGGTGATTCTAAAAAAGTGTCTGGATTTAAAGATATTGACCCAAAACGAGGGTATTGTCGGTAGAAACGTAACGGATGCGAATCTTGAGGCATTAATTACGTCCAGCGCTTTCTCTGCCGACGATATTGCTGCTACTCGAATACAAATACGTCAATTTATTGAAGCTGATGCGAGTGAGTATCAAATTCGAAGGAAAGCAAAGATCAATTCGAACTGTTAAAGGTTCTGCTTTCTAAGCGATTGGCAAAATACAAATAGTAAATTATTTTTATCATACTATTTTATATTCAGTAGTAGGCAATCATCCAAATGTCATTCATACTTTTTTAGTCAGTAGTTGACAATCATTACTTAAGAGAAATTTTTGCTTCAAATATAGCAAGGCTATCACTTTCAAATACAGTTGATAATAATGACGTCAGCACGTACCTTAATACCTGAGCAACTGTGGCGTATGTACATCGTACGAAGAATAGTATCATGACAATTACACGTAAGATGGTACTTTGCAAAGAGAAGAAATAAATTTTCTGCTCCTTTTAAATTTTCGAATTGTGTCTGAGTTAGTTGAGAGGCTCTTGGCTCCGCTCCTAGGTGCGTGTATGATCCCATTCTTTGTGCATTCGCTAACGCGGAGTCGCAAAGCCAGCATTTTCGAGAAAAAGAGACACACCACCGCCTATTGCACTTGTCATCGGTAGGACGAACATGGCTTTATGTCTCAATCCTTAAGAGTTGCTCGAGTGTCTCTCTTTATCCCTTTATTTGGTCTCGAGAAAAAAGAATGTTGGCGGGCCGAGAGCCTTTGCCGGTATTCTGTCCCTGGAGGTGTTCACTAGCACTGAAAATGCGTCGGGATGACACCTCCCTATGCCTGAACAGACGTTGGTGTAAGCGCAATTTTTTTGAGTAAGATCGCCTATCTCAAGTGTCCAGTACTTCGAGAAAGCCGACAAAGAGATTCTTTCTCTGCGAGACAGGAACTGAGATGGTTATGATCTTTGCGATACCAAGACGGAGCAACAGCGGTCTCTAAACTTGTAGACCACTCGCGAGATAGGGCACTTACGTGCAGTTATACCACAGTAGAGGGGGCATTCCCAACAGGGTGCGATGCGATATATCAAAAGAGTATTCGCACCACCTTGAAACGCATCCCCTATGTAGTCAAATCTAGCATACATACCAGGGAAGGACACCCTTAAAAATTTGCACAAAAGATGAAATTCCGCGTCGCCTTGATGGTGAGAAATCCTACCCTATACGTGGCGATACTGGTTTCCATTATCATAGTAGGCCTTAGGACCGACCCTGTGGTGCAGTGGTATGCTGTTCACTTCAGAACCGGGAGGTCCAGCGTTCAATCCCCGGGCCGGGTAGAGAGGGGTTTTGATGTAATGAATAAAACCCTACAGCACGTGCTTGACGTGGCTTACACGACTCCAAAAAAGGGGTGTCGTTCCTAATCATATCATAGTAGGCCTTAGGATTGGTGCAACTCGCAACAAGCCCATTGCACCCCCTCAACCTCATTTGATGATGCGGCAGGTATTGCATTGGATGCTAAGAATAAATTTTGTGGCACGAGCGCCAGTTGATCTGTGGGAGATGAAGGTTTTACGAATGCGCCAAAGAAATAGACCTCAGGCAAGCTATAAAGAAGGAGAACGAGTTCTTAGCCGCCGAGTATCGTTGTGGCTTTGAATGTGTCACACATATGACATAGCCGAACTTTTGCGCCCTCTACATCTCTTTTCTCTCGACAAAGATGCAACAAGTGTCAGATTCTTAGACAGAGTCGACCGGTTAAAATCTCATTAAGTTACAGTAAGAGAAAGTTGGTCAAAAAGAGAGCAACTGGGTTCTACTGTAGTTCTTGGTGATAGGGACAAAAATTTCTGACCAAAAAAAGCTTTAGTCAAGATGGAGCTCACCACCCATGATTTTTGAGCGGCAACATTAATGCGCAGGATTCGTGAAATCGTGAACAGTTCGGGTAGTTCCAGAAGCGACGTGCGAGTACATCTGTCGCGCTACTGCTGAAAATCGTGGACAGTACGCGAAGGCAGTGGAGATGAAAAATTGGCATAAAATATTCGCGCGTCTGTTCTCCAGAGTGTAATCATACTTGGACTAGAATGAGAGACGGTATGTCGCGGTTCCTGGAAGATATCTTTGGTGAGACGCTCATTTGCAGGGAGAACCCAGAATTTAGTTTCATTGGAATCTGCTTCTTCAGGGTGTTGTTCAGTGGTAACGATTCGGGGCGGCTTTGTACCACTGTCTGTTTCTCGTTGAGCAGGAGAAGACAAGCGATAGTGCAAATGTAAGAGACCACCCCAGTGTATATTGTGAGAGATTTGTCGAGAAAAACGATGACCCATAACCAGATTGGTTAGAAGCCGGGCGTCGTTCGACGAACCTTAACGCGCCTTGCGTAGTGCTGAGTTAGTACTTTCATGCAACACACCCACCTTGCGGAGCATAGTAGCCCCACATATATGTGTCGATAAAGTTACATTCTCGCGAATACAGTATCCGAGGTAGTGGAAGAGAAAGTTATTTCTATGGGATGTTTTAAAATTAGTTGCAAGTCGATGAAGCCACCGAATTTGCACTGTTAGTACCGAAGAATGTGATGAGCTCGTTATCTGCTTTGGATGAGATCGCCTTTGATGACGCTCGCGGAAAAGCTTTGTCTACGAAGAGCAAGGCGGTCATTTACAGAATTCGACGGATGTATTCTGTCTTGTTGATGGGTAAGCAAGTCGTGGTGACAGAAGATCCATCATGCCTCCCGATGAAGAGATCCATAATAAACTTGAACTAGTTTCGAAAACTAACTATTGCGTCATACATCAATGACCATAATAGAATAAATTGTGGAATGTGCTTGATCATTTCTCTCGCGCGAAAAGGGCATAAAGCGAGTTGGTGTGAAAACGTACATCTAAACACTTGACCACAAGTTTGTGTGTCAGGAAACCAACGGCAAGCAGCATATTGTTCATGATTATATTAAGCTTGATACATTAATTATTCTGGCACAAACACCAATATATTGAAAGGGCTTGCTACAAAACAGCATGATTGGTTGCATCTTGTTCAGTGATCTTGGCTTTATTGCTGAATCCTACCAAATAACATTCATAATACTGCGTTTGTAGTTCATGTAATTTACAGAAAGTGGTTTATTTTTTTAGTGGCTTTCTTATACTCCAGAGACGCTGGTGATATTGCGGGCATGGTCGCATCATGTATATCTCAAACCTATTTCAATAAACGTACAGAGCACTGATGATCGTATATGGCACAAACCTGGATGTGGACATCCACTCTAAGGAATCAAAAGCAGTGCTTCTGCGCGTGCGATAAAATAAGCTGGTTACCAATATAGACATGCATATCTTTGGCGCCAACAACTTCCCCGATCTAGAGTGATTTATTAAAACGTACGGTTTGCGTATAGACGCCGCAACAATCGAGGCAATTGCAAATTGGCCAGTCCCGAAGTTTTAAATTCTTTTGAAAGTGGATTGGCTAGCTTTAGTACATGACGTTTGAAATTTTTGCCGGCATTGCAAGGGCTTCACCACTTTGCATAAAAGACGCCAACAAGCTTTATACGCGCCTCGACTCAGGCCCTTTCAAGCCTAGACCGGCCACTTCAAGTTGTCTGTGACGCTTTAGTCGTGTCCTTAGACGTAGTTAAACCTTAAGCGCGCATTAAAGCTCCTCGTTTGAGTATTGCCAGCTCAAACTAGCATTGCTAAAATATTTGATTCGTGACATATAGAATATGCATCGTTTCGCACAGTAACATCGTCATTACAACCCTTGCAACGAATGCAGAATGATAATACTTCTCGCCGAGTATACCTTCAAATTAACATATAAGACCGGCTGGCCTAATGTGGTGTTGAATGTTGTGAGCTGCTGCATGACACGAAGGTTACGTCGCTCGTTTATGAGACGATTCTATATAAGGCTACGATTGACCCACTTAACACTTATCATGTAATTTTAGGACTTAATACTGTACGAGGGGCACGTTATCTTCTTGGACGACCACCAAGGAAGAGAATAAATATACGGCTTACTGATTTCTTGAACTGGTGGCTCTATTTGTTTGGATGGGCAAGCAGAAGTGTGCGCAAGTGCAAAACTTGTATAAACGGATTCAAGCGTCGACTTAAGCGTCAGTGCTTATAGCTAGCTTTCCGGTTTCGACAGAGTGATGAAAGTTAATATGTATGGACTCGAGGTTTGGTCTTCCAAAATACCCATCCTAAAATGTGAGCTATGTAGGCAGAAAGCATCACCTCGTTGCTGTCGTCGGCACAAGTACTGATGATACTTTTAGGGATGATTAGGGAGCGCCTTGCTTACAATTGGCTCGCAGCAGCGGAATCGAGGTGTTGTTCTAGAAAGTTCACCCCAGTCACAGGATGAATTGGCGAAAGTTGAGAATAAAACCTAACCTAACCGGTCCGATGCACGGTGTTCGAAACTTAGTGTTGTCAAATGCAAATAATTTGGCTGCTAGCGGTCAATGCAGCCTTCGCGCCCATGATCTGCCGCGTATATCCCGTCTGTCTTTAGTATCTTCTCACCGATCGTAGGCTCAAGTGGTTTGTAACTTGGTCTGGGACCGGAGGTACCTGCTTTAATACCCATATGATTCGAATCAAGGACGCCGAAGATGGGTCGCTAAAGTAAACGACCAATCACTTCGCTGTGGTGTGACCGCCCTGCCAGCCCGCACCCAATTGGGTGTGTGATAGTGATAGTGATGGGAGGAGACCCACTGACCGAAAAAGCCCCATAGTGTAATGAAGGGGTACAGAACCCGGTTCCACAATGGATCGGATAGCCCGCGCTAGAGAAAGCTCAATCGTAGTGTAGCGTGTGTGTTCCGGTAGCTTAAAACCCTTTCTCAAGTATCTCCTCGCTACCAAATTCGGTCGAACTAACCTCCTTAAGTTTGCTATAAATTTACCCGGCCTGATATTACGAAGCCAACAGTCCTGGCAGCCCTCCCACCAGGAGGCTGTGTCAGAGAGATACGAGAGTTTATCAAATCAGTAATGGAGTGTGAGGTTATGCATGTAATTTTTCTAACGTGATTATCAGTGTTAATGAAATAGCGGAGCTTATTGCCTTAATATTGTTGTCTTATAGCACAAAAGCTTCAAAGGACGCTCTGCATTAAGAAAATATTTCGTTCCCTCGTACCATCGTGGACACATCGAAGCTAGGCATATCGAATCTAGGCCCAAGCACCTAAAACAAGGTCGTTAAATCGTGCTGCAGAGCGCGAAACATGTTCAAACAGTGCCCACCGGCAAGACAAGTCGGCGAATAACGTTGTCAAAGAGCTGATCTCTCGTTTCAAATATCAGAATATTTTCGAATCACTTGAAGTTCTCAATGTCTTGGCATTGCTCAGAAAACGCATCCAAAAATGTTCATCTCTGTTTTTACGGCCTGCTTTGCGACTCTTGAAGATGGTCAAGATGCCATCATATCGTGGAGGCTCATGAAATCCGACAAGCAAGAGGTGATCAACTTTCATGCGGAACGGACGTAACCGCGGGCAGGTTCATCTGCATAACCTAGCCTCCGGTGAAGTAAGAATGATTCTATACACCTATATTCCATGCAAGTGTGGGGTCCCATTCTAGCAATATATCTAGCGCTGTTTTCGTTTACGACTTATCATACATTTTACCAATCTTTTCCAAGCAAATGAATATGCTTACCCAGCGCAACGCGCTATACACCAATACACCAGAGGGTCGTACCCGTTCTGGTTAAATTTTGAGAGCTGACCGTTAGCTTAACAAGTAGCTCATGAAAATGATTAGGGCTGTTTACATCAAGAGCTCGAAATGGTGAGTAACTACCTTGACTCCAAATCGTGCCAAGTACCCCCCAATGTCAATATGACGTCCGTGATTAAAGTTTGCTTAATTGAAGCTGGGATGTGAAGTTGTGATACAGTAAGGTGACTGCCTTATTCACTTTCCGTGCGAATCGAGTACAAAATCTTTGGCGCTTTTATCAGTATACAGTATTTTAGGTATATTTGCATGGAGGGCCCATGTCGCCTGCAACTTTATGCTCAGGTAGACCCTTTTAAGGTTGGTAGCTGGTGAGGTCGGGAATTGCTTGCAGAGCGATTTAGGTACTCTGTGTTTGAGACGAAGGCCCGCACGCATTGTCTTAAAAGTGCTCCGCCGCGGCAAGTATAGATCTTAAAAATATGAACTTTTGCAAAAGTCGTTATCTTGGTGTTTCAAAGAGGCACGACCGATTTGATTGACCAAAATTCAGCTCATTAATAATGGGCTATTATCTATTGAGTTCCGCGGAAAGGTGCCGTAAAATTCTCATGCCTTAACTATTTATATATTCGGAGGAAAGATTGATGTAAAAATGTCTGAAGGCTGAAGGTAAATTTTGAATGGATTCTGCGTACACAAGCATCGATGAACGTAATATTTTTATTGCACGCCTGAGCAAGGCGAGGCTTCACCACTCTTTGGACTTGAATGATTCTTTTGAACAACGGCAAGGTGGATGGAGATATCAACGAAGAAAACAAAACTAACTCTTTGACGCGATCAACAAAGCGATTTCAGGGTGACGTTAATGCTTTACTCGCGGAGGTTCTGGCTATCGCTTTCGCTTCCGCTGCCGATGAAGATTAGATTGATGTTGCCCCCGTCATATATCAGCAAGCGACAATGCTCTGGATTGGGTGAGGGCGATGACACAAATCTACCAAAACGCTTAGAAATCGGATATTGGCTGCCGGACCGAAGTTGGAATTTTGACTAAATATCGATGCGTTTTGCGAAGAGCGCGATCAGCAGGGACAGATTGTGCGCTACGAGGTCTGGCTCGTTGCTAGAGGATTCAAACATAGGTGCGAGTTGAGTCCGTCGATATAAATTCGCCCGTGATGAACGCAATAATGAATGTAGTTGTCTTATCTGTAGATACTTTATGAAATGTGTGACTGAGCAGCGGAATGTGAACAATGCGTTAATTTTAAAACAGTGACCAAAATGATGAAATCCCTATAGAAGAGCTGGACGGTGTTTTTAACGCCAACAACACGATGTTCAAGTTGAATCAGGTAATCTACAGACGCATGTAGACTAGAATTACAATGAACAAGGGGATACGGAAGTTGAAGCTGCGGAACGGATTAATGCGTCAACATCAAGGTAGAGAATTGCGGATGTGTTTTTTCGTGCCTGACAGCAGTGTTGCAGCGGAACAATCAAAAACATTTTAAGATGTGAAAGCAGCGCTTAGGTTCCTTTCACGATAAAAGACTTAGGTGGAATAGCCGAATCTCGACATAAAAATAGATTATGATCGAACACATGAATCGAAATACCCGTTACATCGATGACGTGGCGAACAGATTCGACTAATACAATGTCTGGCAATGGATAAGGAGAGAGCAGTCCTTGCAATTTATAAGTTAAGTGCCTGCTGTACACCATTTACGAGTCCTGTCGTGGCATACATGGTCACGCAGCTGTCACGTTTAACGAAGAATTTGAGACAGCAGCTTTGGAAGGATACGATTTGCACACACCGGCACCTTAAGAAACAGGGTAAAACACGATCACCCATGATTATATCGCTAGCGAATAATCTAGCGAACAAGGGTTGCAGAGAAGTACCGATCGACAGCCGTCCGGTATATAGAACGGTAATAATGATCGGACGTGCATAAGCATCTTTCATGCCAAAATATCGGCGGATAGTCAGCTAAAGCGTGAGTCATAATTTCAAATATGAGTATTGTGAGTCCGTGCCATGCGAAAAGGCAACGGCAGCAAGCACGTGGGGGCTACGCTGGTCTGGTACGACAATCAAGATCTGATCAGCCACACAAGTAATGCACGCTATAACACCAGGGCAAGTACGTTAACCATCACTTTTTTCGGATATGGCAGCGCTTAACTTCATCGTGGTGAGGTATGCACCGACGATGAGCCAGCTTTTCGACATATCCGTTACGGCTAATGGGCTCAAGAAGTGTAGGGAGTATCGAAGTAAACCGCGGAATCCGTGGTAGGCGGTGAACGCCACAGACTAACGGCTGCAGTCATGACCAGTGGCCACGAGCACATCACAGACAATGCTGCACACACAGCTGCAAAGACTATGATTAGTCAATATCAAATACAGATAACCCGGTTTATTAATATATATGTATTTGCTCAAATGTAAAAGGAGAATTGCGAGTGAAGAACCTGAACATAACCCCCCTCTACTGCGCTCACCTTCCGGCACTTTCATTGTTGTTACATTTCTTAAAATTCAGCTTAAATGAGAGGAGGTATCTTATTTTACCTTTGATGCGGATACACCATGCTATAACAATGACGTTGTAACTCTTCCGAGAAAATCTACAGGCATATCGTGGTATCATGAATTGCAGATTAGTCTGAAAATACAGTCAGGATTCAAAGCCAAGCAAGCTTAACCTATAGTGGAGGGAGTTGGAACAGAGAATGACACGTATTGGGATAAAATATTTCATTTCCTACCTGTAACGCGTGCGGTGCTTGGTTAGTCTAATCTATGAACTGCGGAACGTGAGGCTAGCAGCTCACTCATTACACGGACCTCTCTTTTCCTGAGTAGAACTAATTATGATACTTTATTATGGGGCTATACCTTGGCCATCCGGGGTAACGTTACTATGGTACGTTCCATTTACAGAAAGAGGGTTCAGCCTAAATTTCAACATTTTAAAATGTGATACAATCTTTTAGATTTCTACAAAATCACGCGTAATATAAACAGTACTTATTCTATCTTAGTATGTACGTAAATCTGTGAAATTCCTTAGCCGTGTTTTTGCGTTTGCTACACGAAATCACTGAATGATCGTTACTACCAATTTGATGTTAAGCAGTACCGGCTTCATATGAATTGCTCGAACAATCCTTACCAAGAAACGCTTTTGATACGCGATGTGTAAGCGTGTACGATCTGATAGTGATCTACTGTTCGTTTGATGTTTGTGAGTTCACTCTTCTCGCAAAGCTTATATCAGCTAAAATGGATAATACCAGCACATTTAATAATAGCTAGGAAAATTAACAAATCTATCTTTATTATAAAACTAGTTTATGTAGTCGTTCAGTGTTGATGCAATTAGTCTTTTTTATACAATTAAGGGTAATCTCTCATATATTGAGCCACCTCTTCAGCACATCTACAATCGGTATATTGGTAAGATATCAAAACACTGCAGACATTACACGAGTTATATGTCGACGCAGTCGTCATCGAATGGATAGTGCTTGACAATGGCTGACGCAATTTCGACTACAACAACGGTAGCATGCTATCCACAAAAAGCGACCTCACTGAGAAATGGCAAAGTACCGTATCTTCTGTCGCAGCTGCGTAGAGTCCGAAAGGGTGTGTGGTGGCTAGATGGTCGTTTGAAAGTCGCCGCAAGGGCAACGAAGGGATGCGGAGGAATCCCTGAACTTTTCGCACCAACTTTTGCAGGTATTTGAAGTTTGAGTCTACTCCCACCATTCCATACTCAAGTAAAGGCTTACAGTATCAGCCACGCCACTCGATTCCCGCCCACCTGTCGCCACAATGCCCCCTCAGGCATCACAAACATATCTGCCATTTATCACTCGTGTCAGTTACCACGACAGGAGGAATGGCCACCATGGCTTCTCCCTTCCTCAGTGTCGACGATTTGCTTATGGGCGAGATACTCATGTCACTCAAGCGGGATAGCCCGGCCCCGCACTTTAAACTCGAGTCGGAATCACAGCTACCCAGTTATCGCAGCAAGCTGAATGGTCTGTCCGTAGAGGTTGCTCCACCTCCTTCAACATTCCCTTCTGATGCCGACAGTCCAGTCGATGTCTTCAGTCTCGACGCATTCCGTTCCGTGAGTCCTATGGCCTACAAACTGCCATTGCACCCTGCAACACCTTTGAATGTCACCGCCTCACCCACTTTACCGTCTATGTCTGTCACACCACGAGGAAGTAACAAACGATACGGTCCAGTGGTGCAGTTGGAAGACTTGAGAGAGTGTTTTAACATGCCTATCGCCGCTGTTGCACGTAAATTTGGCATCTGCGCGACGTTGTTAAAAAAGATTTGTCGCCGCCACGGTATTCAGCGCTGGCCACACCGTCAGATTCGCAGTTTACAAAAGAGTATCGATATGCTACGCGAGTCGTTACGAGTGGCTAAGGGTACGAATAAAGAGTACATTCTCAAAAAGATTGCAACTTTCGAATGCACACTCGATTGTATAATGCAAGATCCTAACACAGCAGCTAAGGGGATTACAACTGGTCGATTGGCATCCCCCGCAACGGAAGAATTTGCTAAGCGCGGAAGTCGCGTCAAGAACTCGACGAAAGCAGTAGCAATGCCTACATTGCAAACCTCTTTGTCTGACAATGAAGAGAGTGCAAAAAACGCGCCATTAACGCAGGACTGGACACCTAGCATCGTACCTGGGCCATCTGCACAGCGTCTCAATTCGCGCCGTGCTAGTGTGCCGATGTCACTACAGTCTATTTTGTGCTAAAAAGTACCTTGATGTTTTAAAATGTAGTGAACAATTGCCAATTAAGTAAATTTACAATATGATACAAGATATGGTCGAGTATTGAGTTCAAGATAAAAAGGTTTAAAATATTTATGCCGCTGAGATGCGAACTCAAGAAAGCTATTGATTCGTGGCACGTTTCAAAGTACTGTGGATGCTTCGATCAGAAGTGTCGACACTGATACTGTAATTAGGCACAGAAACCGAGCGATTCTAATCTAGAAAGAATATACCGATTGTCGTAATACTATCAATTAGAAGTCAAGTTATACAGTCTAAACGAATATTTTTTTGACATGCGGTACTGTAACCGAGGTTATACTTATTATCTGGTCAAAACTTGTAATCAAGTAGATGCGTCTGACGTTCATGGGTAAGATATCCACAAACTTTAACGTCCTCTAATACGAAATTGTGATAGTAGGCTATTGTTGGCGAATGAGCTATGACGTGCATGTCTTGATATAAATACGCATTTTGAACCATAGAAATAGTACGCAAGAACAAGCTACATATTAAACTACAGCGAGTCGATCTCTTTCCGCCAACTACGAAATGTGTGGCGAACAGAAGGAAAAGTCCAACGGACTTTGGTATGTGGGTGTGATCTTAACACTTGTCGGCTCCATCTGCACCAACATGGGCGTAAACTTACAGAAATTTTCCTTTATGCGTGAAGCTAAAGGTCGTAGCGTCGGCGACAAGCGGGGATACTTTCGCCAGCCTTTTTGGGTTATTGGATTGCTACTTGTAATTGGTGGTAGCATTCTTGACTTTGTGGCGTTGGGATTCTTACCACAGTCTCTAGCTACACCTGTTGGTGGATCGACTATGGTTGCCAATGTTGTCTTTGCATCAATGTTCCTTAAGGAAAAGTTTACTCGATCCGATGCTATTGGTACTACCCTTGTCTTACTTGGAATCATTATCGTTGCTACATTTGCTGAAAAAGAAAGCGCGTGTTACACAATTCACGAGCTTGTTGCACTGTACCGAGAGCCGATCTTTGCAGTGTACGCATCAGTAATAACTCTTTCCTGTAGCATTCTCTATTTACTCACGCGCAAGATGGAGCATACACTTAAGCATAAAGGCAGATCGTCACGTGAATACAAAAGGTTTCGAAAGTTTCATCCAGTGACATACCCTGCTTTATCAGGAATGTTTGGTGCTCAATCGATACTGTTTGCAAAGTCGACAGCTGAACTTATAAAGACGACATTTGATGGAGACAACCAATTTGTGACGTTTGGTGCTTATGCTATCACACTAAGCATGTTCGTTTGTGTATTCATGCAGATTCATTGGCTCGCACATGGTCTGCAGACTTTTGATGCAGTGTTCGTGGTACCTGTCTTTCAGTGTTTTTTTATCTCTATCTCAATCTTCGGTGGAGGCGTCTACTTTAAAGAATTCGCTAAAATGTCTTCTCTAGCACTTGGTATGTTTTCGCTTGGCTCGGTCATTACAATAAGTGGTGTCGTCAAGCTTGCACATCGTGATATGCACAAACTCAGTCCACTTAGAAGATTTCGCGCTGGTACTAGTGTTCTTATATTCATTTATCGGAGTCAAAAAGCTTGTCATGATGGAGCATCTTCTCCGATCAAAGCCCTGAAGAGATCTCCGGTCTGCGCTAAAGAGGAAACAAATAACTTTGATGTAAAAGCTGTATCATCGAAAAAGCGGGTCATGCGGCTGTCTAAGGCATCGGTGCTTCCTGTTGGTCCTGATGGAGCTTCAGGAGTTGCTACGACGGCAATCGTGACTCCAGGACAGGTTTTACCATCTTCTAGTCCTGATAAGAGTGACATTATCTCAATAGATGCAAGTCAATCTTTTTTAGTGTTTTGATAGATATGAAACTTAGACATGTTTATAGTGGAATTTACTACAGCGAAAAGGCTTTGCGAATTCCTTCGACTAGTTCATCCTCAGGTTTGCTGTCGGTAGTAGGAAATTCAAATCTTGAACCAGTTATGAGCTCGTAAAGTAAAATGTAGCGCCGTGAAAGCTCCATCACTAGCTCTTTTGGAGCTTCCGGAAGGATGGCGTCGTTGTACGGATCACAGTGCTCTTTGAACCAAAGTCGAAGAAATTCCTTGTCAATATTTTCAGGTGATTTACCCTCAGCCATACGTTGTTCGTATGACTCTGCAAGCCAATATCGACTTGAATCAGGGGTATGAATCTCGTCAATTAGAACTATTTCACCTGTCGCTTGATCTAGCCCAAATTCGTACTTTGTATCGACCAAGATTAATCCACGTTGTGCTGCCTGGTCTTGGCCAAAAGCAAACAGCGCCAATGCCTTTTGCTCACAAAAGTCCCATTGTTCTTGGGTCATTCGTCGACTTTGCACAATAGTTGCACCCGAAATCAGCTCGTCGTGTTCATCATCTTTGGTGGTTGGAGTCACGAGGTTCTGCGGTAATTTCTGGTGCTGTTTGTAGCCATCTGGGAGTGTGTGGCCACAAAAGTCACGACTGCCATTTTTGTAATTAGTCCACATGCTCGTGCTTGTTGAGCCTGTGATGTAGCCACGGACTACAAACTCTACTGGGAAGACCGTGCACTTGGTGCACAGCATGGCAGATGGATGTGGCACACTCAAGAGATGATTCTTCACAATGTGCTTTGTCTGGTTGAACCACCAGACGCTAGTGAGTGTCAGTACGCGGCTTTTGAAAGGAACCGAAGCCAGGGCACGGTCAAAAGCTGATTGACGGTCTGTAGATACGAGCAACACGCGGTCCTCAAACACATACACATCGCGCACCTTTCCTTGGACTTTTTTATAAGCCGGAAGTACCTTTTCAAGCGAATCGAGTGACGTAGTAGTCAACGTCTGACCTGCCTCAATCTTTGATAGGTACGACTGCGTGCGCTTCTCAGCTTCGGCGATGGAACTCATGGCGATAAATATGGCTGGAGTGGCGCAATTTGCAGCATAGAGTGAGGTGTCACACATGATTATCGACTATATTTTACTAGGGTAATAATTATCGAATATTCAGTCTCAATTTTACGATCATCATGAAAAAATCGTTTATTTTTTTTAACCAAAAAATTACGTCATATGTCTTCCGAGGGTTGCTCGAATCCCTACCAAGACCACGACCGTACCAGAATCCTAATTAAATGGCGAGAGCATTCCAAGTGTGTGCGGTGCTATCGCTGACCACAGGCTTACTGATATCTTGTACAACAGCAATGAAAGAAGGCAAGGATAAATTGGTACTTGGTCTTTTCACGCCTCAGTGTTTTGAGGCTTTCGCCATTCATCATGACTTCGTCAACGTATCATGTATCAAGGCCGTGATTAGCAAGGCATTAAGCTATGCAATCATTACAGGCAGTTTTATCCTCAAGTTGCCACAGATTATAAAAATCATGAGTGCGAAAGACGTCACAGGTCTTACTCCTAGTGCTTTCTACATGGAAGTGGTGCTTTATCTATCGAGTACCATTTACAATCTATTACGTGGCTATCCGTTGACGACTTGGGGCGAAAACCTCGTGATCCTAGCGCAAAATATACTACTTGTGATCTTACTCTGGACATACTACACACCCAAGATCCCCGTTTCCACACGTCTTGGACTCGTGGTAGTATTCACTGTGATGGCGCTAGGAATGTACACAATTCCAGAGGATCATCAGTGGCTATTAGCTTCTGCAGGAATTCCTGTGAGTGTTGTTGCTCGTATCCCTCAGGTATGCTTTAGATGTGTAGAGTGTTGGTCAGGGGGTGTCCAATTAATTTGGGTGTTTTTTAGATTTTGTCCAACTTTAAGCAGGGTCATACGGGTCAATTGGCGCTCATCACACTAGTACTTAACTTGGCTGGCTCCATTGCACGGCTGTTTACCACGATGGAAGAAACAGGAGACCCAGTTATGATTGCAGGCTTTGGTGTCGGGATCTTGCTCAATGGAACGCTCGTATTGCAAGTACTACTGTTCTGGGGTGCTACTGAAAAGGCGCTAACGCAAGCGAAGAAGAAGAAAGACCATTGAAGAAACAATAGCATGACGATACTCTTGCTCACACTATTGCTTTTGCTTCTGTTAATGTACGAGTTCATGTTGCTGACAATCTTTCTCTTCATAATCTTGTTCTTGTGTGCTGTCGTTTTGATCTTTTTCTTCCTGCTTCAGTTTTAATTGAAGACTTTTCTGATGCTGCGAACTGATTCTCTTTTTAGGTTTTGGTTGATTAAAAATGGGTGGAAAGTCGAGCGTGTTCAAAAACGTAATTGTTTTTTGTGTTCCCAATTTACTGTGATACCGTATCATTTGACCAGTAAATGGTGCTTTTGGAGCAGCACTCTCCGCTTTCTTCTCCTCTTCAAGTCGTTCCAGTCTCTGTAAGGACTGCGTGTTCTCTACTTCCGTTTTGACAGCTTCAGCCAATAATTGTGCCTGTGTCAATCGATTTCCAGTCTTTTCAATCGTCAATTTTTTGCTTTTTGCAGCAATTTTCGCTGCTTCATCCGACGCTCGTCGCCTCATTTCTGATGACTCGGATAACTTTTGAGTTGTCGAGAATCGAACTGTCGGTGCTTTATACGTGAAAGTTGGTGTCGTTGATACGATTGCAATTGGAGGCTTGTGGTGTACCGATACCACCTTTCGTTTAGCCGATCGAGACTGAATAGGCTCCTTGTATCGTCCTAAACTAGTCGCAGGACGCTTGCGTTGTGTACGCTTTTCATCCTCTTCAGCGTCATGTATTTCTTCATCAGGTATTTCTTGAGTGTCAAAATCGGAATCAACAACATCTTCTTCTTCTGTTAAATTCACAAACGACGTGAGGATTCCATAGTTACTAAAAAACGAGTAATCTTTCAACCTGCTTCCGTCGAGTAATCTTCGTCCTCTCCATCTTCTTGCCATGCTTCTTGTCCCCAAAACGATGCATCTGCATCTGCTTCTTCGCCAATGAGCTTTCGAATGCGAGTACCACGAGAAAGACGCGCTGGAAGTACCTTACGGGAACTACCGTCACTCTGACGCTCCCGCATTGGCATATAGTGTTGTATTGCTTTCAAAATCTAATGATATAAGTTAAGTTCAAAACGTAAAATCTATTGTTTTATTCTTGTTTAGAAGTAAACAACGAACTTATAATAAGATCACTTCAATTAGATTAAAAAGGTCTTGTCAAAACCATATCGTTAATGTTTAAGGTTTGCAAATGCATCAGATTGTAGTACTTCCTTCACGTGCTTCATGCACATACCTTGTCGTTGTGCCCACTTCTGGCATTCAATAATACAGCATTTAATCCCACCACCATGTTGACGACATAGTCGTTTGAGATGTGCTCCTTTTTGACAGCCTTTTATACTACATGGACGACCACCACCATGTAGTTTGCACTTTCCAAAACTTTGCGACGCACGGGTACATCCACTCTCTCGGCATCGTGAGCCACCACCATGACGAATACACAATCCACGACTTTGAACACTTTTGTCACATCCACTACTCATACAACGTTTTGAGCCTCCGTGGCGCTTGCATCGACCTAAAGCACGGGCTTGACTTTTGCAACCTTCTTCACAGCATAATTTTCGACGTTCTTTTGGTTCTTGAAGTGAGAATGATGGTGCTTGAGGTACATTCAGGGTCGATGGCATGGGCAAGACTGTTGCGTGTCCGGCTAAAGAGTCGCCTATGTAAACATTAAATTCTTCCTTCAACTTGCCATCTTAACTAAAATAATACATGTCAACACTACTTTTGACAATTTCCCTACCTTGGTGCTGATAGCGAATTGATGGCTGTAGTGGCAATGGTGCGTACATATCTTCTCCAATCATGGCTTGATAGTGTCCATGATTTTCGTGCATCCAAAGCAATGGAGCATTCGTGATGGATTCCAACTCTCTGGGTACAAATGGCCGTAAATCAATTGCTGCTGTCTCTTCTAGTTGCGTCCAGTTGACTTGTGGACTCATCTGAGGTCCATGACTTCGAGATGTCAATCCAAAGGTACGTTCATTCTTGTACGGTGGAAAGAACGACGAGACTCCAGTTACTTGGAAATTGTACGCACTGTCCTCAAGCGGCTGAGTTTCGTCTAATGTTTCTTCTTCCACATATTGAGAGTGCAGTGGGTAGTATGGAAACTGAAGACTCATGGCCATGTATATGTGGACGAGACGTTGCTAGAGTTAAAGACTGAAGAAGTCAATGCAAGGAGAAAAGTACGTGAGGACTACGAGCCTTTCCCAGAAAAAGGCACCGACCATGATGGCAGCCAATATTATTGTTGGACGGTCACATCCAACATATACGACCAATACAATACAACACTTAAGCATCACAAAGCTTGTTAAAACGATAAACTCTACATATCTTTCTACCAAACCCTCTACAATTCATCCTTTGCAGCCAGCAGATTCATTTTGTGGTCTTTCACATCTTGCAGTGTCTTAGCACTCGCTAATGTAATCCGATCATTCTCTCCATAAATCGAGACAGCAATATTATGCGCACGATCAAGTAAATCAATCGCTTCATCCACCTTCTTCTGTTGCATCTTCACTCCAGCCAATGCGTTTAAACTAAAAGCATACGCCATCGTGTCTTTTCCTTCTCGTTGTAAGAAAATCGCAGACGCAGTTTCAGCAGCTCGTAATGCATCGTCAATCTCTCCAACTTCCACATGTGCTGACGAAAGTTCCATGTAAAGCTCAGCAATGCCAATTGTTAAGCCATTAATTTCACCACCTTGTGCTTTCAAAGTATCTTTCAGTACCTTTCGACTTGTATCTTTCTTGTTCAACTTCTTGTATCCTTCTGCGATCTTCAACGATGCCTCGATATACGCTTCATGTGTCATGCCCAATCCTTTTTTCACATGTTTTCGCAATGTCTTATAGCGTTTGATCGCCGATTTAAAAGCTTTCTTTTCCATATATGCGTCAGCCAAACTACGAAGAGAGAGACCTAATGATGGATGACTATCTCCATAAATCTTTTCAATCATTGCCACTGAATCTTCAAGCACTTCAATAGCTTCATCGTATTGTTTCGTACGAATTAATACCGAGCCATAATCATTAAGAATCTGAGCATACAATGCTGCATCTTGTGATATAACTGTTGGATCTTTAATCGCTGCGCGTTCTTCTCCAAAGACACGATTATGAAGCAAGGAGATCGCATGGCGAAGTTTCTCAATCGCATCTTTAAACATTCGTTCATCGTTTGCTTTCATACCAGCATTGCGTAACCCACGCACTTTTTGGATCACAGGATCATCATCTCGTGGCGTGGAAGGTCCTTCTTCGGCATAAATCGTTGCGAGCACGATACACCATAGAATCGTAATTCGTACCCCTTGCATGATTTCTATTTGTCGTCTTCGTACTTAAGATAATAAAAACGTGAGGATGAAGAAGAAAAACAAGAAATGTGAGGCTGGAAATGATGAGAAACAATGTCTTAGTGATTTATTTACCTTCATGCAAACAAAAGGTACAAATTGGTACAATCTTGAACGTGATGGCATGAAACAGATTGAACACTTTCAATCAGCACTTTTGGCGCTTCGAGAGGCTCAAGTTGATGTCATAGATGAAAAGAACGATAGGATGGTCGCTGGACTTGCAAAGAATATGGAGATTGATCCATGGCTAGTTGAAGAATTGTATCAGCAAGTACAAGATCTGTTGAAAAGCTTTCAAGATTTAATTGAAGAAATGTACACGATACAGTCAAAAGCGAGAGATCTTGGTACGATCGTTGACAGGTATTGCTGATGTTAGAAATTGAAGAAGTTTCTGATTTTGTGTTTGTTAAATAGTGCGAGATGCAAAGGATGACGATGATGAATGCATTCCATCAACAAAATTAAGATCCATTGATTACTTTCAAATGATCAATCAAGAGCTCGCGATGTTTGAAGCAGAGTATCAACATATTGTACGTTTCTTGAACTTGCTTCTAAACTTTCTTTACTGAGTTACGCATTGTTTACGAGTTTAGGAAGCTCTATTACGATCTCTTTCATTTAAAATGACAAGTGATGAGCTGAATACGCTCGTGATTTCGTGGAGTACCTCGCCTTTTCTAGATCCTGCGCAAAGTCGTGCTTTTCAACAGGTAGGACGAGTTTTGTTTCTAGCGCAAGCAGATGCTCACATCGTTTCTTTATATTAGCGTCATCAAATCTCGTCGCGACTCCATGCATAATAAAGCCTACTCATATTCTCACTCATGTGTGAAGGATACTATTAATAATTGATCACGTCTGTCTAATTTACTCTGAATCGACAAATTGTGCACACAGATCGTTTATATCCTCTAGATTTAAACTTGATACAAAGTCATTTAGCGTCTAACATCCATACACTCATAAGTTAGCATAACTTGATATATCTAGTGATTCGTAAGTCACTCAGCACCTTTTCAAACTCTTTTTGAATCTTTGTCGTCTCATTCGAAGCGAAACAAGGCGCAAGAAATTTCTCTATAGCTTCTTCGACCGTATCTGTCGGCAATATTACGCTTTCTTGTCCTGCTGGAATAAAAATACCAGAGCTCAGAGGTTGTGCAGCTAATTTATCATGCTATAAAACAGTAAAAAATTAGAGGTTTAAGGAAATCGAGCAAGACTACAACTTTAACAGATCATGTACCATATCATTCCATTGTACACGACAGTGTGTCTTCTTTCGTACTACTGGGTAGCTGTCTAACAGACGCAGAAACTCGTGATCATCCATGCTTTAGCTTTACGATTTGATCAAAAAATATCATAGCAAAAGAAAAGCAGTATTTTTAGTACTATTCTTCAAAGTAGTAGTTCTATCATCATACTACTATTCACCATGTCAAGTGCTCCACCTGTCGTATCTCCCGATGATCGACTGCTATTTGCTGTACCGAAGAAAGGTCGTCTACATGATAAGATCCTGAAGCTTATAAAAGGTGCAGGATTAGATTATCACCGTCCGAATCGTGTGGATATTGCACTCTGTTCGACTTTGCCAGTTACTCTCGTGTTCTTACCAGCAGCAGACATTGCAACGTATGTTGGCGAAGGAAATTTAGATTTGGGAATTACTGGACAAGACATTATTGCAGAAAGTTGTACAAATGTGGAGGAATTGTTATCCTTAGGTTTTGGACAATGTTCGCTTAGTGTTCAGACTCCAATTAAAGATGCTATTAAATCACCACGAGACTTAGCAGGCAAGCGCATTGTCACGTCATTTCCTGAAGTCACGCGCGAGTATTTCAAACAATTTGAGACACAAGAAACGGGAGTAACGAAGATTAAGTACGTCTCAGGGTCTGTAGAGGCTGCATGTTCCTTAGGACTTGCTGATGGAATTGTTGATCTTGTGGAGACGGGAACAACTATGAAAGCTGCTGGATTAGAATTAATTTCTACAATTCTAAAGACACAAGCTGTGCTGATTGCAAATCCTCACTCAAAACAAAAGGATTTGGTACACAAGGTTCATCAGCGCATTTTGGGCTATATTACAGCTACCAAGTACCGAATGGTGTCTTACAATGTAGATAAGGAAAAGCTGGATGAAGCTACAAAAATTACACCTGGACGACGCTCTCCAACAATCAATAGTCTTGTAGGAGGGGATTACGCTGTATCAGCAATGGTTGAAGTGAACAATGTGTCGAATGTCATGGATCAACTTCATGAAGTTGGAGCTACCGACATCATGATCTTTAACATCGAAAATTGCCGCGCGTAGACAGCAATTGATGACACAAGATGGAGGTAATACAGATGACTGTCATTTCAATAGCCTGAAAGGATCAGACGAAATTTAAACTGAATGGTACGATTGATGTGATCTTGCAGCCTTTACATTTTAAGTCTTGAGAGTATTCATGAGCTTGTCATCGACATCACGCCGTTGCCAGTTCGCTTCAATTTGTTTTCGAAATGCTGGGGATAATCCAGACGGATCCTCCTCTACTCGAGACTCGAGACTATACACTTTACTCTGCACTTTATCTTTTAAATGCCTAAAATTGTTGTGATAGCCTTGATCGCGCCATGGTTTGTTGTTGTCTATCACTTGACCTGATGATTGCTTCGCACCTTTTTGATTTCCAACTATCAAATGTTGTTGCCGCTGATGCATAAGGCGTTCACGTGCTGTATCCAATTGACGAATCTGAACATGTAGACGCTGTTCACGCCTTTGCAATTCATTCTTTGCACGTTCAAGTGCTTGTTCTCGCATTTGAAACGATGCATCAATATCGTGGACAGTCACAGCCTTTTGTGCTACAAGTTGCTCGCGTTCGGCTAACTCGCGAATTCCTCCATCAAGTTTCTCAGCAAGTGTCACAACTGCTTGTGTACGTTCACAAAGTTGCGCTTCTGCATTTTGAAGATTATTTCTCTTTCTTTCAAGAGCTTGAAATTCCCCGTCATGACTTGCAAGCTCATTTTCGAACTCTTCACGATCAGTGTGAAGTTCTCGCCATTCATCGTCCAATTTCAATCGTAATGAGTGAAGTTCTGTACGCTCTCGTTCCATTTCAATCGCAGTTTGTTCTCGAAAAGCAGCAAATTCAGCTCGAACTTGATACAATGCACGCTCATCCCGTTCTAATTCCGTTCGTCTCGTTGCAAGTCGTGCTTCCTGTATACGAATGTCCTCACGCGCTTCTGCTAATTGTTTTCCCATATAAAGAGCATGCGCTGCTTCTTGGTCACGGAGTACAGACGCTTGTGCTTGTAAGTGAGCACTTAATGCATCTAAACGTTTTTGTTCCTGTCGCAATCGTTCCTTTTCTTCAAACGCTCCTTGTCGAGCATGACGTGCACCCATTTCAAGCTCGCGCAAGAGCTCAGTGAGTTTCACACGTTCTTGTTCAGCATGCTGTGCTGCACGTTTCGAACTTCCTTCAAGCGATGCAATTACACGAAGACGTGCTTCATCTTCAGCTGCTACACGTGCTGCAGTCTGATCATGTCCTGATCCTTCTTCATATACTTGATGAGAAATACTCAGACGAGCTAAGGCACGTTGCATCTGCATACTAAGAGCTTCAAACGCTCGTTTTTCACGTTGACGTTCCAATTGATTGACTTCATCCTGTTCAGCTTTCAAACGATTTAGCGTCAATTCAAGCTCTTGACAAGCACATTTCGAGCGTGATAGCTCATCACGTAGCGTCTGTAACTCTGATTGTAAGAGATCTGTGCGATGTTGTAAGGTTACAGCATTTTCCTTATACTTTGCAGCTGCGTGATCTGCTTGGAGTTTATCACGCTCTACTAACGCTAATTGTTCAGTGAGCTCAACCTTCGACGCTGTTTCAACATTAAGCTGTTGGGAAAGTTGTTTTAATGACGTTTCTCGGTCTTTCACTTCTTGTGTCAATTCGTTAACACGCTGAGTGCTGGTTGTTGTCTGAGCTTCTAATTGTTGACCGAGGGCCTCAATTTTCTGCTGAAAAGTTGAGCGCTCTGAATCAAAAGCTGCAGTCACCTTTGCTATCTGCTCAGCGCAGTTACATACAGGAGATGTAGTCGTCGAGGTAATTTTGGTATGAGGAGTTTTGAGTAAGTGTAGCTTTGGTGACTCGGAGTTTGTGACGGAGACTTGTACCTTTGATCTATCGTTTCTGACTTCTTCGTGTATTATCTCTTGACCAATATCTTGAACGTCGTCCTCTGTAGTGAATGATTGAGAGTATGAATTGCGTCGATCTGGACTGGAACGAATTGAAGCGGATGGCGATAAAGGTAGAATCTCTTTAAGCAAATTATCTTTTGCTTGTTCAAATTCCTTCTCACTATTTACGTTGAGAGTAGGTGAGAGCCGATGTTCTGGTGATGGTGGACTGAATAGGTTTTTCTTCGACGGATGAGCTATTGAAGAGATTTGAGGTGGAGCTTCTACAATCGTTGCAGGAAGTTGAGCTTTTACTGGTAAAGAAGTTTTCTGTGGTCCTTCAGTATCCTCAATGGGTGAGCCGATATTAATGTTAGTATTGCTCCGACGATGTTGTAAAGGTGATTCAGTAGTCTTGGAAATTGACATGTCTCCTAGTAAATCCATTAAAAGACTTTCCTTTGCACTAGCAAGATCATCAATTCGACTTGCAGGGGTTACAGCGCTAGCAACCAAAGGTTTGCTTTCCTGATACGACGATCGATGCTCCTCTGTCGATAGCTGAATCTTCGCCTCTTTTTCTGATGTGCTGTTTGTATATTGTGGTGCAACATGTTGCGCTACTAAACGATCACTTTGTTCATTTGCTTGATCTGATCCATCAACTTCTCTTTTTACTTTCGTCTTGTCATGATCGTCAATAACTTTATTTTTTTCTGAAATAAAACTCTTTTGTTGATGACGAGAGCCGCGGGGCTCAGATGCAAACAAATCTGCAAGTAAATCATCTTTAACTGACACTTTCTCGGTATGTACAGTGTCATCAGATTCCCTTGCGTTGGTCGTTCCAATCACATCCTGCTGCTGGTTCATCTCAATGTCTTTTGAAAAATCCCGTGCAGGTTTGGAAAAAAGATCGTCAAAGTCACGTCGTTTACCACTAGCACCTTTAAAAAGCATCTCAAAAGGTGAATCAGAACTTGTCGTTGTAGCTCCAATACCAAACGGATCCGATACCTCAGCACTTGCTTGTCGCCTCCCACCACGAGCTCCTCCTCGGCGCTCAGCTGTAAGAAGAGACGAACGCGATGTGGCATTCATATCATCACTTTTAGTATCATTAAAAAACGACGCCGAAATACCATCAGGTTCAATAGCAGAACTGTTTGTATCGACTTCCTGACGACCTCGTCTTTTCAAAGTATCCAAACTTCCAACTTCATTAGCAGCAATACTATCGTTTTTATCAAACTTCGATATCTCCATTTGTATAGATCTCGCTTGTCCAAACTCCGCTCCAATTCCACTATTCTCGCCCAGCATTTTTGTCAATTCATCATCTAATCCACTTCCTATTTTCCCACTTCCATTCTTTCGTCTTGCTGCTGCCAATTCGAGTTCAGCAGCACTATCCCAAGTTTTGGTTGAAGACGTCCAATTGTCTGCCATATCTTCATCATGATGTGATGTTTTCTTCGATTTCAACTTGGTCTTTGCTTTGTTTGTATTCAACTTCTTGACTTTGTCTTTTGTTTTTGTTTTTTTCTTGTCATGTTTGCTCTTTAATGATGTTTTCGATAAACTTTTACTCGAGTCATCACCTAAGAGATCACCCACATCAAAGTCAGACATATCGACATCGTTATCCCGACTTTTAGGGATTGAAATTAAACCACTTGTAAGACTATGATCATTCTCTTTTTTAATGTTTGTTGAGTCTCTAGAGATCCCAATTGGAATGAGGTCTTCAAGTGGCATTCCTTACTAAAGTCGAGACTCTTTTTCTGCCATGTAGTACTTCAAACTTTGAAAATCTAAGAAACGTCTCTCATCTTCCCAAGCTCAAAAATGATCTTATGGAGAAAACGGACGTAATAGCCATCACAGTTGACAAAAATAGTCGCCACTCTGAAGTCGAGGAAATTATGTTAAAAGAGATTTTAGTTACGAACAATTTTAATGGTAGAAACAATATATTAAAACTCAAGTCTTTCTATAGTGTCGTAATGACATAATCTTCGAATTCTTAATCCTGCATTTACACTTGATAGCCACGCTTCTGTGCTCCCGCTAGTCGATCGACAATATCACAAAGAATTGGTAAATTGAGGACACTGCCGATGACTGGAGTCTGGCGTAAAAAGACAACAGCAACGGGAAAGAAAGATCCAAAGAGATTAAGAAAGCCAAAGCTCTGGATGATCATGCCAATTACTGGATAGCGTAGCATCACCAACAAAATTCCACCAAGAAAACATACGATACCGCGCCATCGTTCCTTTCGTGTAAAGAATCGCACCGTACGCGATAAACCGATAGTAAGCGCCACACCACTCAAAAAGAGTACATCACCTAGCGCTAGCATAGCTGCATCGAAGATCATAAGAACACCTAGCAACAGAAATGCAAAGCCCAGACCCAATAACAGGGTGCCGATTTTACGATTGTCGTCTAGCATGTCGGTTCCTGCAGCTTCAGTGAGTCGTTAATGAGATAAGTTAGTGAACTGTACAACTTGATATTCAAGACTTTGGATTACGGCAAGAACATTGGATAATATTGTTACAACATTTTGTCAACCAGTAATTGGCTGAAAAGAGGTCAAAAGTTACTATTATTTGATAATGTCAACAATGAGATCCATATGAGGAGTCTTCGTTGTGCAATAATGATGGTTTTGTTCAATGCGCTGCTGGGCATGCTAAATAATCTACAGCTTCTTCAACTCCTTGTGGCCGTATTTGCGGGTAATTCCACTTTAAACGGGAATCGCTCAGTTTGCTCAACGTCAGCAACTTCAGCGCTGCATTGGCCTCAGGAGAAAGAGGGGGGGGCAAGTTTGGTCAATCATGATGGCCGGAGAGTACTGCACTAAGGTCGTCGATGTCCCCGTGACCGTCTCCAGTATTTAATAGTGATAATGTCCGTCATCTTAGCAGATAATTTGGCTAGAATCCGGCACAGGAGGAGGCCAGGGATGCCGTTGGAGAAGAAGATGCAACAGCTTCTTGAGGATTTACTTGTTGCTCTTCTTCGTCCTGACTCTCATCAGTAGCCGTATCTTCCCCACTACCATCCGCCAAAAACGCAGGCAATATATGCGACATTCGATGCGCCTTAGCCGTCAAGTATCCTTGGCTATGCTCACCACCTTGAATAATCACAGGCAGCCGCCCTTCAACAATAATACCAAGCTGACTCAGTAACCGAAGCTTGCGCGGATTATTTGTTAAAAGCCGAATAGACTGGATTCCCAAGTCTTTAATAATAGCAAGAACCGGCTCATAAGATCGGTAATCGTCCTTGAATCCCAGAACGCGGTTCGCATCCACTGTGTCTAGACCACATTCCTGCATTGAGTAAGCCATGATCTTGTTCGCTAGGCCAATTCCCCGACCTTCCTGAGGCATATAAATGACCACGCCACCATGTTGTTTTGTATACGTCTTTGCATAGTCCAATTGTTCTTTACAGTCGCACTTTAGCGATCCAAACACTTCCGACGTAAAGCATTGATCGTGCACACGAACGGGTACATTGCGCTTTCCGCGCACATCTCCCGTAATCATAGCTATAGGCTCGCTCTCCCGTAATGAGCCAACGGAACGATACGCACGCACACGAAACATCCCAGCGTCTGTAGGTAGTGCTGTCTCAGCCACAAACGTCGTGTTAACATCATTTCCAAGACATGTGAGGCCGGGAGCGTCGGGACCTAGGGCCGGCTTATATTTAATCGAGCCCGGCACAACATTTCCCACAGTCATGTGGGGCTTCTGTAGCTGTGTCATTGTTGCTATGTAAATATATCTATGTGTGCAAGACTCCCACGGAGTACAAATCAGCGTCTTCGTGCTGTTGTTACGCCACACTACTGCCCGTCGTCTATGGCCTGGTGGACTGATTGGGGAGTGAGCCACGCAATCATTCAAAGCCAAAGAGAGACCGTGACAGTCAATATGAAGACGAGATATATATAATGTCAAAAAAACATAAGGGATAACAGGTGATCTATAGCAAATTCGTAGCGCTTAATATAGTGAGCGGTATATCTAGCAACTAATATCATACGTAAAAATACATCCAACTTATGGTTTGAATACTAAAGCCGTGTTATGTACAGCTATGACACGCTGACTCGACTGTTACACAACCTTTCAACTCTGATTCAGAACTGTCGTGCGAAAAATAACATGCTATTTAGAACTTAGATATTGATTTTCTGTCATTTATCTGGCCCTGGCTATCGCACAGTGTAACTTTCAAGCAGCTAAGAGTTTATTAAGCAGTATAGAATAGAGAAGCGGTGATAGTGCATGCGTATATCATAGAAGCGCCGTGTTCGATGCACACTATCCTGCTTAGTAAAATATCGAGATGATAATTTGCAGTATGTCGAAAGACACTAATCATACGAGAGTCCGCGTATATAATGCGCACAGAAGTGAAGCAAAGAGCATTTAGAGTAGTAAAGTACTAAATTTTGATATACTAATTTAAGAGTGACACATACCTAAGATTGAATGTAAAGGCTATTCTAAATCCAAAATAAAACCATCTGAATAGCTACGTGAAACAGGGTTACTGGGTACTTAGCAGAGATGAAGCTTTGACTCTCAGAGTCCGTATTACTAAGCGTACAGAGCTTTGGTTCGTACGCTCCTACATGAAGCGGAGATGAGAGCTTTTATCGAAAGTAACACTGACTGCTTGCTATTTCAAGAGAGTATATATTTAAAATCGATTCTAAAATTTTACTACTAAAATCATGCGCTTATGATTTCTCTACGTTTCTTTTTTAACATTCCCACATGTACCTCAAACCCCTCCTTTACGGAGCTCCGTAATCTTAACTAAAACCGCAATTTATGAATATTCTCAATCTCATGTGAATTTTGCGCTACTGTACTCTTTCTATATCATATAATCGTATCAAACGTGTAATGGTTAAGTAAGCAAATTGCACTCATCCAGATTTATGTGGACCCCACAGAAGATTCCATGTCCGCATTTACCGTACTTAAGCGTTCTTACGCCGGGACTTCGCGGATCAAGCGCTCACCGTCTGAACTTTAATAATTGTATTCATGAGTGAATGTATTATAGCAATAAGATGTTAGATACACTATTCTTATTGTACAGATTTGCTTGTATGATCTGCAGCGGGGCTGCCGTAGCTCTTTGCTTAAAGTAAGCTAAGCTAAAGTCATCGACCTAACGTTCTTTCCAATAACCAGTACAAGTGTAGCGGATTGCAATCCACTACTTCTTTGTTGGTTCCTTATTAATATAGTAATACATAACTAATATAGCAAAACATAATTAATACAGTAGTACGCATTACTACTGGCAATCCTCCTGCCATGTGGTGGCTTCTTGTTACACACCACTGAGTTGTTACACTAACTGTGTAATTCTCACCTATGTACGAACGTGAGACCCACCGGCACGTGCAACCCCGTTACACTCTCCCCCATTAAAATTATGAAATCCCCTATTTACATTTAACTGTCGTCTCACAGTCTTGCCGAAGTGGCACCTCAGACTCCCACGAGTTCTCGGAGTCAGGAATTCCCCTACAATTTTCAAGATATTGGGCTCGACCCTGTCGACAACGTCAACCCACAAGGCGTTCCACGGGATTGTGGAGGCCACCTTTTCATCGAGAAGAGTCGGCAGCGGACGATGACGACTTGGTCGATTGCCGTCCGGTGACTCGCGATGCTCATCGAGCACTGGAGGACAAAGCCCGTCGTCATCGGCACTCTACCGAGCATCTCTCCGAGGTCGCGAACCGCTGTGCAGAAGACCTCGAGAGCCTGGAGCACTTCGTACACCGACCAACTCGCGTTGAGAATTATTGTGCTTTGTCGGAGCGGCTCCTAGCCGTCGAGCAGGCGAATACATCACTTTGCACCTTGCGCCGTTGGAAACGAAAGTTGTTGCACTCCGTGCTCAGAACAAGTTGCTTGTTTAACTTCTGGGTGGCCGAGCGCCTTTGGGTGCGCCGGATCCTGGTACGGCTTAAGCAAGCCCACATAAAACACCGGGTGGGTGCGCATCACTCTTGGAAGGTTTAGCGTATACGTTACGCTCGACCTTAAAAGGTCCAATGAACCGTGGACGGAGCTTAGTCTTAAAAACAGCAGAACGGCATGTGTAGGGAGGTGTTGAGCATTTAATAAAACCAAGTCTCCGACCTCAATGTATTAGAAAAAATTTTCAACGTGCCATCTGATATGGTCATATCAGTCAGCTGCTCGTCGAGCAGATTTGCGGAATGCAAATGCATGCCGGACACCCCCACTTCAAGGCTCTGAGCCATGGAATGGCGGCGTCAGTGGGACGCAATGATTGATAAACCCATTTGTGTAGTACGGCAA